GTCTGTTTCCGATCACTTTCATCAATTTGTAACTTCTGTCTCTAGTCCTTGTCCCCTTGCAGGAGAGGGGGAAGAAGGGAGCAGTGTACTCTGGTATGCTGAAGGATCTGGCTAAACACTCTCACTCCATGCATGACATGCAATACATTCAAACTAAAGCTTGATAGAAACCAGCTACAAAAATGTTCTGTGGTTTTTCAAGTAACAATGGTGCAGCTGATTGGCCATTTTTATTGTACAGTAATTACTTAGCATGTATAGCATGTCTAAATTTTCTGTGCAATTAACCAGTTAAAGTAGCATGTTGTTACTAATGTCTTTTAATCTGTTTAGTGGACAGAACCCTAATTATATCCTCACATTCCCTTTTAATTTTTTTTGCCCTTCTTAAATTGGCTACAAGTTCAGAATGCATTTCTTATTCATAATGGACTACATGATTTGTGTGTCTATGTCTATAGGCTCTAGGTCTATTTTCATGCATTTCTCTAATATTGATGGGACTTTGTGGATAATTACTTCCACCTTTGATCATTTTTACATTTTAACCAGACACTTTTGCTGATTTGAAGTTGGGGTTGAGTTAGTTCTTCTTGAAGCTTATGGGTTCAAATGCATTTTGAGATGTACTTGCAATAGCTGTATTTTTAAAAACTCTTTTAGTGTAATTTCCAGTGAGGTCACCATGACCTCATGCAGATGTGAAGGTCCACCCATACTTATCTTGTTTCACTGCAACTATTTTAGAGAGATGGGACTATAAACTATGGCTTGGTTGAAAGTGAGAATTGTCTTTTTTAACTATTTTGTTTAATTCTTTTCTACCTTCATTATAATTTTTGTTAGCAAGTCTCAAGTAACTGTGCTTCATTATTTATAATAATTAGAGGCTAGGAGTACAGAACTGAAATGTGGAGAAATTAACACATTTGAGGCCACATCTCCAAAGCAGTGACTCATATGCTTGAAGAGTTGGTAGGGAAGGCTGCATGTGGAACTACATATTTTCTATGAGCAACTACTTATTCACACACAGATGAAGTGTGGACTGTTGAAGTATCTGTTCTAGTTATCAGAGAGAAATAATGTGAAGAATAAAATATTCTGAAAGACTTTCTTAGTTTGAGAAGAAAATAAAAAGAGTGAAAGGTGATGCAAATGTAATACTTTGATAAAGTACATGTATTAGGACATACTATTTTATTTTCTGTTTTGTTTTTCAAGTGATTGCAATAGCAACAGAAACTCCATTGCCTCATTCACCAGCATTTGCAGTAGCCAATGCAGTTCTTACTTTCACAGTGATGAAATGGATTCAGGTAAGCTTTTTTTTTAAAAAAAAACCAAAACAATCTTCCATTAGTTCTGGTGGAAGTTTTTAGGGATTTGTGCATTTTTAAATTTTTTTTTCACATATGCCTATTTTTGTAAATTCTCTTCTTTACTGTAGGTGTTAAGAATGTGATTTTGCTTTGTTTAGCATGTGCTGCTTTTCTGTATAACAAAGCCAACCTTCCAATCCCACTGCAAATAGACTGAATTAGTTAAAGCTGTCAGAGACCGACTAATTTTAACCACCTCCCCACTGTGGCCTTGGCAAGTGCATTATGGTGCTCAAAATAGAAGGAATTTTAGGTAAATAGGGAACACAATATCAGAAAACAGGCAAGATTCAGAATACAAAATGCCACTGTGTACAAATGTTCAAGACGGAGACCACAAAAAGGCACATTAATCATAATGTTCTACTTCATGTCAAGTACGAGCAAATTCAGTTTAAATAATCTCAGAATCTAATAGAAATGGGATGCAATTTAAAAGCACAAAGTGCAAGGTTATGTACTTAGAGACTAATAGCAAGAATTTTTTGTACAAGCTGACATGTTGAATGAGGATGAGAAATGTTGAATGAGGATGTATGTGTCAGTCAGGGGTAGAGATGCATAAAGGAAATTGGGCATCAAAAGGTGGTAGATGTATCCAGTTACAAGTCCAAGAGACTGGTGCATAGTAACCCCTCCTAAATGAGGTCTCCAAGATACTACAGGCAGCTTACATTTTCATCAAAGAACCTATTCAGGTATCTAAGGCTTTTTGAGAAATTAGTGCATGAGTCCTTAGAAGGGGCCAGTCTCTGGTAGTTATTCATAGTTTATAGTTTCTAGGGTCGGAAGGGACCTGAG